ACTTTCCAAAGAATCCAATGCCGTTAGAATTTTTGAGATATTTCAAAACGTATGCGCAGTAGATCAAAAAAACTACTTTTTTAAAAAAAATTTATAACTCAAAAACCCTTTTTTCGATTTGGCTCAAATTTTCAGGAAAAATAGTTAAAAGCCATACTTTAAAATGATTATTCCGAAAATCTGGGTATTTTGAGTTTTTAGACATATTTTTATGCAAAATAGTGAAATAATTCGATTTTTTTCAATGTTTCCTTAAGGTTTTTGCTTTTTTGTGCTTATACGCAGCTATATAGAAAAAATCTGAGCCCAAATTCACCATCCTTGGAAAATTTCCAATCAATTATTTATATTTTTAAAACTTATTTTTAATTATTTTAAACAAATAACAGCAAAAACCAATACAAGTTATAATTAAAAGTATTAAAAAGGTGCGCATGACGATTAGGGTGGCCCAAAAAAATTTTTTAGTGGAAAAAAGCAAGAAAGCCCTGCAATTTGTTCCAATGACAATAAAAATAAATACGCATTTTTTTATAAACACAAGATCCGAGAAAAAACGTTAAAAAATCGATATTATGCCACAAAAACACTTTAAATTGAGGCTACGGATCTTAAAAGGGCACTTTCAGCATTGATTTTAAATGGTAAAAGTGACCTTTTAAGATCCGGAGCCTCAAATATAAATATCCAAAAAGGGGTAACTTTGGGACAGTACAAAAAGTTGTTTCTTGAAAAAATGTAATTAAAATTTTCTAAAAATAATAATTGTATTAATTTCCGAAAATAATTTTAAAAAATTGAAACTATTGGAATTTTTGTCAAATTTCATTGACATAAGGGAGAGTGAGGCAAAGACGTTTTTTAAAATATCTCCTTTATTTTCTTTCTATTCCAATTGGTATTAAAGTTTAGTTTCAATGCAATCAGACCAAGTGATTAAAAAAAAACCTGAAAATATCACATATTTTAAGAATTATAATTGTTTTGCAAAGATGAAATGATAATTTTACTGAACAATCTCTTATTTTTTAAAACATAAGTTTAAGTATTTAATTTTTAAAAACATAACATGTAAATAAATTAAATATTTCTCTACACAACTGGCGTGGTGTTTTAGTTTAATTTTGTATCTAAATATTTGAAATTTATAAAGTAAAAAGAAAGTTTGTTATGTGGGGCAAAGGCAATACGCAATATTGAAAATAATTTGGTTAAAAACAATTGAATATTCGAATTTTCTATTTATTAATTCACAATATAAGGTTAAAATCACTAAAAGTTTTTATTTTTTATTTAAATAGTTTAATTCTTTTAATAATATGTTGTTAACCTTATGTTTCGTAAATATTATACTAATAAATATCACTTGATAATTTTGTTAAGGCTTATAAATGCTTTCTTTTAGAAATATAAGCGAAAACGTCGCTGCCCCAGTGTGCGGGGCAAAGGCATTATTTTGCATTGTTTTTAAATTTGATTGAATAATGTATGTATAATTATAATATACTAAATAGCAACTATTAAAATTGCTTGTTGATTAGTTTTAGAATAAAGGAAAACAAAGACGGCATAAATTAATTTGCCTTTGACCCACTCTCCCCTAAATTGAATTTTATTTCTTTACTTTTGAAAACTATTTTGAAATATAATCGTATTTTTGAAGAATTCTAATTGCAAATTTGGAAAATAATTGAATTTAAAAAAAATTTAGAATAAACTTATTAACGGAGTGTTACAGTGATACTCAAAAGTTGAATTATTTAATAAAAAATATCTTACATTCAAGTTGTTGTTATAAATATCTTGGCGATTTTTGTCATTTTTGCAAATAGTCATTTTGGCGAAAAGTCATTTTTACGAATTGTCATATTTGCGAAAAGATATTTTTACGAATTGTCCTTATTGCGAATTGTCACTTTTGCGAATCGCCATTTTTACGAATTGTCACTTTTCCGAAAGGTCGTTTTTGCGAATTGTCATTTTTGCGAAAATTACTATAGTAAACTTGTATGTATATATAGATTCACTAAAGCATTTTTCGCAAAAATGACAATTCGCAAAAATGACTTTTCGGAAAAGTGACAATTCGTAAAAATGGCGATTCGCAAAAGTGACAATTCGCAATAAGGACATTTCTCAAAAATGACATTTCACTAAAATGAAAATTCGCAAAACTAGCTTTTCGCAAAAGTGACAATTCGTAAAAATGACTTTTCGCAAAAATGTCAATTCGTAAAAATGACTTTTCGCAAAAGTGCAGTTCGGTAAAATGACATTTCGGAAAAATGACATTTGGCGAATAATCATGCGTCCCAAATATTTAAAATCTTCATTACTGTATAAAACTGAACACGAGCTTTAATTAAATATAAAATAACTTACAAATATTTAAAATTGATTTCACTAGATTTTAATAAAAGTTAACTAAGTATTGACGAAATAGATTTATCCGAGTTATCGAATTTATCGAACCCAGCTGTGAGTAGATTTTTGAATCTACTACTCAGTAGATATTCGGTATAATTATATATATATATATATATATATATATATATATATATATATATATATATATATATATATATATATATATATATATATATATATATATATATATTAATAAATACACCACATTGAAAAAAATATAATTGAATCTAGTAAACACATTTACTTGATTGTAAGATACTTTTCTTGAAACAAGACCATATTGTTTTGTTGGAAACTTTGTTGCGTCGAGTAACTGTCAGAATTAGGCAAAGTCCCTAAAAAGTATTGAGTCAAGAATATTATTATTCTCACCAATGCTCATAGTCTTGAGCCATGAAAGTAAGAAGATTAATGTTAGTAATTACTTGTTTTAACTGGATTAAAAGATTTTGTTTGAATTGATTGATTAAATACAGAGGAGTTAATTATGTAATTGGTTCATGATAACAATTGTCTTGCTATATAATGAACATGTGTTCTTGATCCAAGAAAATATGGAATTCGTCAAATATTTTAAGTTTCAGTTTATATATTATAATTTAATATAGTAAATCTGTTTGTTTTAAAATTCAATGAATTAGCACAAAGTTGTTTCCAATTTGAATAAAGAGTCAAAATTATTCTACTACAAACTGTGCGCGTGCAACAAGCACAAGAAACTTTCACATTTCGCGAAATTTTTCATATTTTTTTCGTCGTCTGACGAGTGACGACAGCAGATCTAGCCAGAAATCTTCTGGATTTTCTATCGCTTCTTGATTTCTACATAGTGTTGCCGCAAGGCGGGATTCTTTCCAATCTTGTCTCCTCTTGAAGCGTCGAGACGAACTATGAGTCTTATCTTGAATAGTCTCGACATTTTATAAGTTAAATAAAAAGTACATTGATTCCTAAGTGAATTACTGAAATTCAGATAACTGACTTTATTTTTTTGTCTGTGCATTAAAAATTAAAACATTTATTCTTAATGATTTTAGAGTGTCTATTATAACAAGAAACAAACTCTAGAAATAGGCTATATTATCAATATTTAAAACATTTTTTATTTGTTAAACAAATTTTTAAATAAACAAGTAAGAATACGACACTAGTCAGCCACCTAAAGCAATCCTTTTAATTAACACTGTTTTTTAAAGGTGCAATTCATATTTTTTTCCAAATTCTTTTACATGATATTGTTCCTTACGATCACACAAAACTATTAAACCATTCATGTTTATGAAAAAAAATTAGTAAATAAACAAGTAAGCATACGACAATAGTCGGCCACCTTCAAGAACCGTAGAAAATAATTTTTTTTTTCAATTACAAAAGCTTAGGTTTGTTTATAATGATCTTAGAAATGATTAGTAACAAACAAATTGTTTTTATCTCATACGGTTTTATAGCTATTCAAAATTGAAAAGTGTCCGACTACTGTCTGGTTTACCCTATTAAGAAAAGTGTAGGTTGCCTTTATGAGCCTTATTTGATACCGAGATACCATTCCATAACCTCTTTTTAAAGGTCGGGATATTTAAATTTATTAAACTGTTATATAGGTATAGAATTATTAAAAGTAAAAGATTCAAATTTTTATAAATCTTTTATTTTTTCATGGTCGATTCCACGTGAAATTTACCTACCCTAAGACCTTCTAAAATTGGCTAAACATATCTTTTTCTCGTTATGTATAAAAAAATATAAATGTATTTTTTCTGTATATAATTGCCCAAATTTTCGAAATGTTTCATTTGTTAAAGTAGATCTATTTTCAGTAGCTTTTAAGTCTGAAAATATTGCGTTTAGAAAAAAGTTTTCAAAGAACGTAAATTTTAGTTTTTCTTCAACTTTTAAGTGGTAAAAATTTTTTTTCAATTTTTCTTTGCAGGCTTACCTTGACGTTCCAATGGAACCTTAATCTTATGCTGTGCAGGGATATGAAAAAGTTAATTGATTAATTGCGTTAACTGTTGCAAATGAAGCCATTTTTTATTAATATTAATTATATAATTTTGTTTATAATAATCAATTTATATAATAATTCAATTATCTATGTACGTAAGGGTTGTGTAAGAGTTGGCAGAAGTCACTCTTGTAAGTTAGGGGATGATCTAGAGAGCAGTCGCTAATAATGATTTTTTTGAAGATTAAATAGTAAACTAATGTTTACTATAAAAGATATTTTTCTAATTTTCATTATTTTAGGAAAAAAAATGAAAAAGTTTAGTGTTCGACTGTAGTCGAACAGCTGTCCAATATGGGTTAACTGTTTTTCTGTGTACTGCAAAATAATATTTTTTTAAAAATTCATCTAAAGTTTTAAACTGGATAAAATGACTATACCTATCTGTAATATTGACGTTCGAAAAGCTATTGAATATAACAATAAAAAAGAGGAACAAGTTTTCAAATATCAATATTAATAATTTATGAAGTTAATGTACGTTATTTTCCAAACCAACAAAATGAACTTCTCCTTAACTGATTTTTGAGATAAAATTAATTTTTTTGAAATAATTGTATGATTGTAGGTGCTGGACTTCCATCAAATTAGAGGCACAAAGTGCAAAACTTCGGGTACTTATTGACAAGATCAGAGAAGAGTGGTGAAATTGGCGAAAGCCATATTTAAGGAAAAAACGAAATGGCGACAATAGATGGGCGACCAGCTCAGTATGGAATTACACTTAAGCAACTACGAGAGCTTATGGAGCTTCGAGGTCGCGAAGGTGTTAATAAGATTAATAGCCATGGAGGAGTACAAGAGATCTGCAAAAAATTATATACTTCCCCCAGTGAAGGTATTTATTATTCTCTTTTCATACAAACTAAAAATTACAATGTGTCCTTTATTGCTTATCATTTTGTACAATAAAATACAAGAATGTATTTAAAATAATTATATTATGTATTATATTATATTATCTACAAAAGATTCCCAATTCAGAGCGTGTTAAGATGATAATTAAGTAATTAGTTATTATTAATTATTATGTATTATTTGATTTTAAAGAGCAGGTCAAATTCACGCATTCTGATTTTTTTAGTGTTAATTTTAACAAACATTCTTTTTAATTCATGTGGAAATTCTTCAAACTTAATATACAAAAGTTTAATTGAGGTCGTTGAATTTAAATCTGACGTCAAAATTGAAAAATTAAAAATGGTGGATCCACACGGAGAGAAAAATCAAGCGTTTTTAGTATGGACAGTTAACCTTATTTAGTAAAAGAATTCACATGCGCAATAGGCGTAAAATTTCTGCTGTATTTGTATGAATTTCTACGTTATCAGCATAAAAGTTCTACCTTTAAACGCATGGGGCGTCAGTATACTACGATTGCAAGAGATCTATGCTATTTTAGTATATGTTTCATGCAACTGAGGTATAAAAACACGCCTTTTAAGCAGGGCGTTCATACAAAATTACCATAGGAAGTCTCCATACTAAAAACGCTTGATTTTTCTCTCCGTGCAAAATGGCTAACATAATTGTTTTATTTTATCTGGAATAAAATATTTTAACAAGTTAACAAAAGCAAAGAAAAATTTAATCAAAAAACAAAATGGAATATATAACTTGCAGCCTCCACGTGGCACATTTGGGATCCTGACTGATATTATCTTTTCCAATAACAAAATTCTAAATTTATGTCAGGTTCAAACTTAATCAATAAAATTTGGATTTCGGAGTCAGATTTGAATTCAGCGACCCCAAAAGTCTCTATATACTAATAGCGAATTCGGTTATCTGCTCCGAGAGCGATCTTGCTCGGTGTAGGAGTATAGTTTACTCTGCTCTCAAAAAGCTGTGCTCTACTCTGAGGCAATCTATGACGTCATGAACACTGTCAAAGTTCGACTGTTTTTGGAGCAGGAGCACAACATGAACTGCTATGGTGTAAAGCATACACTGCTCGTTTGGCGCGAAGTTTAAATTTAATTAAACTTATATAATATAATATTATATTTATTATATTATATATATTATTATACATTATATTATGCAATATATTTTCTTCTTAAATGTAAAATTATTTTACTTAAAATTAAATATTTTATGATGTATACATAAATAATATTTTTAAAAGCAAAAAATTTGATATTTTTATTAGAATTTTAAAATCTTATTCGGTCAATGTTTTGATATAGCAGAATTGTTAATCACAAAATTATCGAATAATATTTCTGATATAAATTTTGTTCACACTATTTGACATTTTGAACTACTAACAACAACAATAATAAAATAAGTGAAAAGGTTATTTCTTTGAGACCAAATAATTACTTTATAATGAGTATTTTTATTTAAATATTAAAAATATTGAAAATTATTTACTGTTTTTATTAAATATTAAAATATTGAATGTTAGTCTTTCTCTAAATACAAAATTCATTATAAAAAACATAATTCGTCTTCACTACTATCGCTAGAGGTGTCAATTAAATCTGTTAGAAGTGAAATTTTTAAATTTGCCGCTTCTCTTGACATTTTTTTAAACTGCACTAACAAAATTGTGGGAGCAAATTTTGTTGCACCTTTCGATCCTTGAGAGTGCACACTTCTTAATTCGAACACAAATAACGATCTGCGCCGGAGCAGTGCTGCCAAAACGAATACTCGAAACGATCTGCGCCGGAGCAGTGCTGCTAAAGCGAATACTCCAAACGATCTGCACTAGAGCACATTTGTCAAACCGAACATGCTACTCCTGCTCTGGAGCACTCCGAGAGTGCTCCGGTGCAGATAACCGAATTCGCTATAAGTTTCACGAAATTTTGCGTGAAATAACAAAATTTCGCTCGCTATTTTGGATCAATTTTTCTCAAATAGTGAAGGGTTTAGTATTGAAAATGTCTAAAATTTTTGACATTTTATAGTATTCAAAATGTCTTTTTTCTATAAACAATTTCTATCTTTTAATACGGCAAAGTTTAATAAATTATTGAAGAAACGATTTTTAGTTGCTTGGTCTCACGGCATTTTGACCATTCATATAATTACATTTTTTATGGAATTTTAAACCTGAATAACAAAACTTCCTGAATTGTTTGATTTTATTGTACAAAATGGCGTGAGACTTATAAGAATTAATAGTATGAAGAAAATGTGAAAATGAAAAGAAATTGATAATTATAATGTTCCCAGGTCTCAGTGGATCAGAAGCAGACATTCAGCATAGGCGAGACACGTTCGGATCAAACATGATACCTCCTAAACCACCAAAAACATTTTTACAATTAGTATGGGAAGCACTGCAAGATGTAACGTTAATCATTTTAGAGATAGCTGCGTTGGTTTCATTAGGTCTCAGTTTTTATCATCCTTCTGATGATAATGCACGTGAGTATTATTAATATATATATATTAATATATATATTATATTATATATATTATATATAATATATATAAATATATTAATTATTATTATTATTATAATATATATAATATATTATTATATATTATATATATTATATTATATATATTATATATATTATATTATATATATTATATTGTATTATTAATATTTTACATTTGTAATGTTCTTTTTGCTTTTCGTTTCAAATGATTTTTAGGCCAGTCGGTGAGTGCAAAAAGTGCACATAATAAGTGCAACCTGAAAAGTCGAAGCAGTTTCTTGTAGTTTGAGGGCCCCAAATAAGAGCCCCATAGTTTGCACCACATTTCCGGTTGCGAAAAATGGTGTAAGCAATCGCCAAAGTTCGAAAAACATGGTTTTTCGATGACTGTTGCTTCCGGTTAAATTTTAGGGGAAAAAGTTGTGATTGAAAGTTATAGAGCTTGGAAATAGCTCTCAAATGATTGGTCGCAAGTTAAAAAAGCTTAATTAGTCTAGTTGCAAATGAATTTAAACCATTAAAAATAGCACTTTTTTAATTGTTTAATAACTTTGTTAATAATTATCGAATTTGTTTCTAACTTCCCAGAAATATTCCCCTTGCGAGGCTGAATAAATCCCAAAAAAATCAACTTGATCGGGTAAATAGTTTATGCATAATTCCATTTGTTAACTAAAAACATGTAATTTTTCAACGGAATTTCCCCACTTTTGGACCTGCGAATTCCGTTTTTTTTTCTTGGAGAGTACAGTTAAGGAGGCTAACTTTAATTCCATTTAAATGGGAAATTGATTTTTTTTATTTAAGTGCATAATAATAGACGTTAAAAAAGGGTATGTTTTTTTGACATAAACAAATGGAATAACTCGGCCAATTTTCACTTTATCGATTTCGTGTAAAGGGCATTTGATTTCATTTGTTTTCACAAAACTTTTCCAAAAAAAAAAAAAATCCGATCTAACTTCAAGAGGTGGAGAGTTAACTTTTTTTAAAAAAAAAATTCCTGACAAGTTAATCATTAATGTTTTTTATTGAAATTCGCACCACTTACAGTTTGATACATGTATTTTATGTAAAAAAATTAAACATAAGGTTTTGTGCATTTATTTTTAATTTATAACAAGTAAAAGTAAATGTATCCATTTTTCAACCTCTGAACGGCGGAGTGGGGGTACTCGGAGGAGCGTGATTCTCGCCGCCACAACTGAATTTAGCTGTTCAAATTTGCAAAAATGGTCATAACTTCGTTAATTATTTACCGATTTTTATCTTTCTTTTTTTAATTTGATGTATTTTGTTACGCTGAATCCAAAAATAATTTTATATGTTTTCAAAATACAATATTTTTAATAATAAAAAAGAAAATTTTTTTTAACAACAAATTTTTAATTACTTATATATCATATTTGACAAAAAATTCTTTTCGTACATATAATTCCATTGAATTTAAAATAATATTATGACATAAAAAAATTAAAATTAATTATATATAAGCTTGTAGCATCAGGTTCACATATGCACGCCTGTTCAACTATCAATACAACAATGCTACACACTTATAAGTAAATAATTTTATTTTTTTTATGTCATAATATTATTTTAAATTCAATGGAATTATATGTACGAAAAGAATTTTTTGTCAAATATGATAAATAATAATTAAAAATTTATAGATGATTTTTTTCTTCCGTTGTTGAAGTTTGTAAATCCTTTTTTATTCGATTATCGGAAGAGTGATAAATGAAACAATGTTACATTAGTTGTGCAACGTTTCGGTGTCTTGGTTTGACACCATCATCAGGCCACTTTATTAAACAATAAAAATTATTTTTTTAAAAATTAAAATTTTACAAATAAAAGATTTTTACAAAAAAAAATTAAGTTAATACAAAAATTAATATCTACCTAGTCATTTTACAAAATTAGTTAAAAAAAATTATTCAAATAAATAATTTGTTATATTTGTTACATTAGTAACACGTCTCAAAAACATAAAAAACGTCAAAAAAATTACGAGCGAACAGTTTCACATAAAACACGGACATCTCATACGAGTGACAAAACAAGACTAAAATCTGAAGGAGACAATTTTGCACGTCATATAAACAGCACGTGTGGAGTCAATGAACTCAAATCAAAATAATCGAGATAAGTTCACTCTTTCAGTTTTCTTAATAGAGGAAAATATGCATTGCTTAGAAATTGTATATCTTCTTTCTTATTGATCGTGTTATCGTTAAACTTAATATATAACATTTCAGAAATTAATCGTTTTTTATAATTTGATTCCAAATCTACAATTTTTACTTCATCAAAATTGAAAGAATGATTGAGTGTAGTTTGATGTTCATTAACTACAGATTCAATTTTTTTGTTTTTGTATTCTTTGATTCTTTTTTCCAAACTACGTTTTGATTCACCGATGTAAGTGGCGGAACAATTATTACAGTTAAATTTGTAAACGATACCAGTTTGGTTCCATTTGTTGGTTGAATCCTTACCTAATTTAACAACTGAAGTTAAAGACTTATTAACCATTGGAATTGACAATAAATTATAATCTTTTAAAATCTTTGACAATTGTGAATAATTATTATTAAATGGAATGCAAATTTTTGGAATACGACTATAGATAAATGATTTATTAAAATTTTGATTATTGTTCAATGTAGATTTTTGTTTAAACAATCTAATTTTTTTATGTTTATTGATAAAGTCCAATGGATAATCATTCTTAAGTAAAATTTGGAACACCTTTTCGATATTACATTTGTGAAAAGATTCATGTGACAATAAGATAGCTCTATCCAACAAATTATAAACAATGTTCTTTTTTTGTTGGATTGGATGGCCTGAAAAGTAATTAATAACTCTATTAGAAGATGATGGTTTTTGGAACCAATTAGTAATGAGTTTATCATTGTCTTTAATTAAAGTCATATCGAGAAAATTAATTTGATTATTGATTTCTAATTCATGAGTAAATTTTAAATTTTTATTATAAGAGTTAAAAACATTTAATACTAAGTCGACATGATCTGTGTGGACACTTAATTATATGTCGTCCACATATCTAAAATAGAAAACAGGAATGCAGTTAAATTTATTTTTTAATTTTTTTAAACAATCACTTTCAAGGTCATCCATGACAATATCCGCAAATAATGGTGATATCGGGGAACCCATAGGGGTGCCATAAATTTGTTGGTAAATATTTTCATTGAAAAGGAAGATAGTATTATCGAAGAGAAACTTAACACAATTAGTTAGATCAACAAATGGAATTTTACATGAATTTTGAATATTTGTGATTCTTTTATCTAAGCTTTGGAGAACTAGTTCGTATGAAACATTCGTAAAGAGTGAGCTAACATCTAGTGAAAGTAATACAAAATTATCTAGCAATGAAATATTTTTCAATTTTTCTTTTAATTCGAAGCTGTTGTTTATGTGCGATTTAGGCAAAGGAATTGCAGATTTTAGTTCATCGTACACAGTTTTTGCCAGAAAATGTGTTGGACTGTTCACAAGAGAAACAATCGGTCGGAGAGGTACATTTTCCTTGTGAACTTTTGGTAAACCATAAAATTTCGCCATAGTCGTGTTTGTCATAGTTAGTTGATTTTTATGGTATTTATATTTAAGATAATCATTAGAATTGAGATTTTGCAGGATTTTGTAAGTATCCGATTGTAATTTAGACAAAATATTTTTTCCAGTTATTTCTTTATAAGTGTGTTGATCAGAAAGTAAGGTGTTAGCTTTAGATATATAATCAGATTTTTTAATACAAACAGAAACGTTACCTTTGTCGGAATTTGTGAAAAAAAGTTCAGGGTTACTTTTAAGAAAATTATTAGTAGATTTTAATTTTGAAGCAAAGATTTTATCTTCATTAGTGACATGATGTTTTTTATTCAAATTGTTAATAACACTGTTCGTAACTCTATTTCTGATTTCACTTTTTGATTCAGAATTTATGTCTAGATTAGAAATAGAGTGTTCAAGATTTTTAATAACTGTAATTACATTTTGTTTGGAAATTTGCTGAGAAAAACTGAAATTTGCACCCAAAGAAACTACGTCAATCACTTCTTGGGGAATTTCAGTATTAGTTAAATTGATCAACCAATTGTTCTTATTCGAAACTTGTCGGGTATGTGTTTTTTTTAAAATTAAATTTTCAAATTTTTAAATAAATTTCGAATTACACTTAGAGCGGATAGTAAAAAATTTGTTGTTAAAAAAAAATTTTTTTTTTATTATTAAAAATATTGTATTTTGAAAACATATAAAATTATTTTTGGATTCAGCGTAACAAAATACATCAAATTAAAAAAAGAAAGATAAAAATCGGTAAATAATTAACGAAGTTATGACCATTTTTGCAAATTTGAACAGCTAAATTCAGTTGTGGCGGCGAGAATCACGCTCCTCCGAGTACCCCCACTCCGCCGTTCAGAGGTTGAAAAATGGATACATTTACTTTTACTTGTTATAAATTAAAAATAAATGCACAAAACCTTATGTTTAATTTTTTTACATAAAATACATGTATCAAACTGTAAGTGGTGCGAATTTCAATAAAAAACATTAATGATTAACTTGTCAGGAATTTTTTTTTTAAAAAAAGTTAACTCTCCACCTCTTGAAGTTAGATCGGATTTTTTTTTTTTTTGGAAAAGTTTTGTGAAAACAAATGAAATCAAATGCCCTTTACACGAAATCGATAAAGTGAAAATTGGCCGAGTTATTCCATTTGTTTATGTCAAAAAAACATACCCTTTTTTAACGTCTATTATTATGCACTTAAATAAAAAAAATCAATTTCCCATTTAAATGGAATTAAAGTTAGCCTCCTTAACTGTACTCTCCAAGAAAAAAAAACGGAATTCGCAGGTCCAAAAGTGGGGAAATTCCGTTGAAAAATTACATGTTTTTAGTTAACAAATGGAATTATGCATAAACTATTTACCCGATCAA